TGGCTGCGAATGCTTTTATCGTTCTCCGATCTCTTGTTGCGTTCTTGTGTTTCTGCTATCGAGCGGATATATGGATATAAATAGCTGTACTGCTTCCACGGAAACTTTCTAAAAATGACTGAAATCACATGCACTTGCGTTCATGCAATCGAAACGAACTCACAGGGTTCCTCTGGCACGCGATAGGAAAGAAGTCATACGTTATTATGGCCGCGTCCCGTGGAGCTCTCCAACAAATGGCAGCGGGAATCACACAGGTGACTGCTAAAATATTACTGCTTTTGAAAATTACACAATAAACAGTAACCACCACAGAAGTTTTATGGATACGTAGCTATCAGAAGTTGGATTCATCTCACCCTCGTAAGATTAGTATAGAACGTAATAATGCTGCTTAGGAAGACCGAATAACAACTTCAAATTTAGTGTAAAATCATTTTACTATTCAAGCTCAAAAAGAGAACAGGAACAGCAAACAGCAAAACCGCCCTGCAGTTGATATCGTCGCAATCAGTCGAAGCGCCTGTCAAGGGGCATGGCATAAGCTCATCTGCGGCGCTCTCACCACTGGTTATTTTCTTCTTGAATCGATCACAATCCGATCGATATCGGTAGGAAAAGCTAAGTCCACCTCAACAACGACGCGCCGACTGATTGCGACTGACGAACACAGACTATGATCGGATGGGAAAAGGGGACCGGTCCACTGTGGTAGGTGAGAAGAATTCCTCACTGTTATGCTGAAAATTCAAGCTTCTAACTAGTCAAGCGACTGGTCCAGAAACAGTGACATCTATGGATAACCCATTGTATGGATTAAGAAGGGAGGGTTAAAGCGTGAAAGATTTACCTTGAAGAACTTCTCAAAAAATACGATTTTCCATTGATGCAGAGTGGCGTAGTCGTATCGGATCGCAAACCGTGATCTTGAGGAGACATGGAGATATGGCGCATGTGTACCGCATGAAGTTAGCGAGCAGCTGCAGGTGCGCAGGGACGGTGATGTATGGTATTCCTTAGCTTTTCCACAGAACTTTTCTTGGCTGTACAACTTGGTCACTGGCTCCACGAACCGGGTAGTCTGCGGTAACGCAAAAAAGTCACTGACAGTAGCGGTGGATCAGGGAACCCATCGCAAGGCAGGACTTATTCTAAGGAAGGAAAAGTTCGGTAGGGACCGCAACGGAGTCATTCGCTGGTAGCTACGATCTGCAAACACTGCTGTTATATTCCAATTTCTTGGATGACATGTTCTGACGTAATCAATTTGACCATTAGCTGGTTGTTTCGTTCTTCAACTGTCTGCAGTAGAAGCAGTTCGACGATAGGAAGTACTAAAGTGCTTTTTTTTCCTAAAAACACCATGAGTGCTTCAGAAGTGGCATCCACCAATTGCGTGGTAAAAAAGGAAATATGTTGAAGATAGTAATGGTGGACATGTTTATTTGTTGGGTGGGTTAAAGACAAAATGTAAAGGTGGCGGCAAACATTTGAGAGCATAATAGATCATACTGGTTGGATAGGCAGCGTTCATACATCGCAACACCGGTGAATCAGTTCGTTGAAGCGATTACGGTGTACGCTGCCGACGTGCGGCTATGACCGACCGCACTCTTATGCTGACTTCTTTACTTCTAATTAAACATCCCCATTTATGTCGATCCTTTTCTTTCTTGCAATTATTAGGCTAGCTGTACGAGGGCGTCGATCTTATAATGAAGGGGACCTGGCCGAAAAACCAAAGAATTCAGCATTATCTCTTAGTTGCGCACTACATTGGTCGATCGCTTCCGAGCCGATTTGCTAGCACTCATTCTCACTGAAACATTCTCTTCGTCACGCTTCTCTTTGGATTCCCCTATTCCCTTGATTTTTTTCATTGGTTCTAGGCTGAAAAATAAAAGAGATGGGTAAGACACTGCGCACAGAATCTTAGAATTAAGATTCTGCGATCCATAGGCGAGAAGGGTTTTCAATTAAGTCGATGCGGCTAGCGTAATTTGGGGGGGGAGACTAATTCCAGCGCCCTCTGCGTCTTCTTCCACCAGTCAAGACTTGGAACGCAGTTGCCAGTGGGAACTGCCTGCTCTAAAAAGGGCTAGTGGCCGTCTGGACGGCGCGCTCACTTTTCGGCTGCTAGCATTTCATGTAAGAACGTGTCCGTCGATCACATAGTCCGTAAGAATTTGTATGGAGGGGTAATTGAACATTCTGATCACGAATATGACATTGACTCTTGGCGCTGGCGCTAATGCAGCACTACCGATTATATGCACTCTGCTAAGGCTGAGCCTAGAAGACGATCGTTAGTGTCGCTGCATTAGCGCCAGCGCAAAATTGTCAACAAAGGAGAGCCAGAACGTCATCCACTTATGCGATTTGGTGCTCGAAATAGACGGTGAGCGATACATCGTGCGCAGCAGAATTCACCCCAGGACCCGATCAACTCAGCGTAGCAGTGCCGCAGCGGGTCGGTCCTATAATTTCTCCGTCAGCGTCTCTCAAGTCGACTAACTCTCTCTGAGCTTGGGTCCGTCTATTAAGCATCTAAAACGGTTACGTGACATCTTGAACTTTTGTGCATGGTCCTGTTACGAAACCCTGTGACGCAGACGGATAGAGGGCAGCGGCTGCCAAAGCATCGAAACGTGCAAAAACGTATGGCGAGCCAGGAAACGGGATTTTTCAAGGGGAGGGACTCCGGGGTGGGTGAGCTACTTATAGTCGGTGAAAAGGTGGAGTGAGCGAAGTCACAACAGCTATAGAGTGTCATGAAGACGAGAGAGTGCAGAGAAAAAGAGAAGATCGACGCGTTCACAGGGATTGAGTCCAAGTTGTCCGTAGACCATCTAAAACCTATTCCCTTGATTTTTTTTCATTGGTTCACGCTGAAAAATAAAGGAGTGGGGAGGAAAAAAGGACACTGCACTAATAAATAAATAAATAATACATACTGCTAGTGCGCACGATGCAGGAGCTCGGAAGTGAAGCTCCTCACCACAACTAGCGGTATCATAGAAATGACATCAGTGGCTAATGGTTTCAAAGACAATGCGTTCAAGTGAATGATACCCGTGCAAAGGTCGATCGGAATCTTGCAGAGCATTGGTAGTGCTTGCTCCTTTACACGTTGCTCGTGCACCACGCAGTGCTGTAAGAGGATTCATTTCGATGGTAATAACGAACCGCTGGGGCAGAAGGTGGTGTAGTGACAAGTGGCGCGCTCACCACTCGCGCGGTCCTGGGTTCAAATCCCGGGTCGACTTCCCGCCTAGGCCAACCAAGCCTTCTACCCTCCGGGGACGGTAAATTGGTACCAGATTCGTCTGGGAGGATAAAACACTGACTTGTACATCGGCTGGCCACCGCAAGTCATTGTATAGGCCACATCGCATTCAATAA